GTAATTGTTGTCTGTGTATTTAAGCCCAGTCTTGTCACTGTGTCTTTGTCTGATCATTGTTTGTTAGTTTGTATGTCCATGTTTAGACTCTTGTTCTGCTCTAGCTTTCTGGTCCCTGATTTTTGTTATTTATCTGTTTTTGCCACCACGTTGGCTTTTTATTTAATAAATTTTTGTTAAAACTCTCTAGCCTGCCTGCCTGCCTGCATTTGGGTTCACCCTGCCTCACAGCTATAACACTTTAAAATTATTTCTTCTTATAAGTGTAAAAAAATAAAATCAAAGACAAAGAAAAAACAATAGAAAAGTTTTTTTTTCACCAGGGTTACCTCTACAACATTAATTTGCATTAACCCTACCCATGAGCGCTGACTATAAACACAGGCTCTAGGAAAGTGTGCAGATAAAAGCTCAAAAGGCTCACAAGACAGAAGCTTGATTTTTGTAACACCACAAGCATGATTATTTAAAAGGTACACACAATTTTAATTCAAGTATATTTCACACCATCATTCTTATGTATTATTAAAATAACAAGTGTCACACTACCTGCTATAATGTAAATAGTTGTTTACTGCGTTAAACAACTTGTTTAACTTTCTAGCAGTTCTACACCTAATGTATCTGGAGAATAAGACGGGGCCAGTGTTTTTTCATGGGGGCACACAAGGCAAAAGCATAAAGTGTGACACCTTCATTTTTATTTATTTATTATTTTGTTAAAGTAAAACAGTGACCAGGACCAATTGTACAGGGGCACTGCCCCCTGTTCATTACAGTTTAGGACCACCCCATTCCCCACTCCTGCAGCTGCAGAATGGACTTTAAAGCCGGCTCCCCACCAAATGTGCCTTGAGCAGCAAAAATGCACCCAATGCCTCAAGTTGGACACACTGAAACATGTTCGGTGTGAACGCAGCAGCAGACCAGACGTGCATATGAAGAGGGAGGCACGTCTTGGTTTTTTCCGGTCTGTCTTTAATGCTGGGTGAAATAAAGATAAAATAAAGAAAATGGCTTTGCTTTATTAACTAAAGAGCAAGCGAACATTGCGCACAGCAGATAATTAATTCGTCAGATAATTGAGAGGCAATTTGTTTGGTTAGTTTTGCCACTCCAAGAGCTACGAGCTGACAGACTTTTTTTTTGTCCCGAGCCCAGTTTAACACCGTGGCCAGTTTAACGAGCTGCCGACCCACATCGGTGCTGATAACTCCAGCCAGAACACCAACTGCAGATGGCAAATTTCAGCCAAAGAGCTCCTGTCCGTCTGTTTTGGGTTCAGGAAACCGTCACGTGGAAAAATTATTCTCTCTGTTTGGTTGCTGCGGCGCATCGAGCAGCGAAAGTTAAATTTTTCGAACTTGAGCAGCGGCTGCTTTGAATGTGCACAGAAAACACTCTGCCCCATCCTACCGCTACCTTGCGTGCCACGCTAAACTGGCAAAACATGCCGCACTGCTCCTAGTTGCGCATTCACCATAGACTTTGCATGTAAAGTGGCTGTTTTGGCTGCTCAAAACGCATCTGATGTGTATCCAGCTTCACTGTAGGTCTTGATGCTCAATTCTGACTTTTAGGTGTGAATGTTCACATTATATTTTAAATGTGATCTCCGTCAGACTACTGTGAACTCCAGATGGTGCTGTTGTGACCCGCACGCAAGGAAATATACAGGGTGTATCAGAAAAAATTATACTCTCCGAAAAATCGCCACAAAATTAACATAGACGATATGTCCTGATGCATCTCAGTAATCCAGGTAAAAAAATCAAAAGGAAAAAAAATTGAATAGGTCCTCTGGACGGGTTCTTCTTTAATGAAACGTTTCGTCTCTCTTCCAAGAGACTTCTACAGTCTGAGAGTTTCAGGCAAAATTCAGGCTTTTGAGTCCTGCCTCCAGGTGACTGATACAGCGCTGCCTTTGGCAGTATCACTCCACCCCCTGTTAACAATAGGTATTAATTAGGTGTGAACGATAGCCATGTGATGTGAGTATCAGTCACCTGTGAACGATAGCCATGTGATGTGAGTATCAGTCACCTGTGAACGATAGCCATGTGATGTGAGTATCAGTCACCTGTGAACGATAGCCATGTGATGTGAGTATCAGTCACCTGTGAACGATAGCCATGTGATGTGAGTATCAGTCACCTGGAGGCAGGACTCAAAAGCCTGAATTTTGCCTGAAACTCTCAGACTGAAGAAGTCTCTTGGAAGAGAGACGAAACGTTTCATTAAAGAAGAACCCATCCAGAGGACCTATTCAATTTTTTTTCCTTTTAACATAGACAATAATTTTGAAAATGTGGCATAACCTTTGGTAGAGGGGATCATTCTGCTTCGAATGACACCAAAATCTTAGTTAATCCTTCACGCTCCAGTGAGCAGGGACAGTTGGAAATTCACAAAATTCATGTCCTTTGCGCAAGGAAATGTGAGGGTTAAAATATGATCTGTCACATAAAATTAAAAGTTTAGATGGTGTTTTGCACGCATGCCAAGGCATTTTTAAAAATAATTAACCCTTTCATGTCCTAATGTCAAAACAAAAATATCTTATTTTTGAGTGGATCATAACCAAGGGTTAACACGTGAAGTGGCCGTGGACAAGTCAGTCCAGCCAGCTAACATTACATGTAATGTACTGTACATGTACATTGCATGTACAGTACAAATGTACTAATGTACCTGTATTCAGTGGATATTACATGTAATTATTCCATAACCTGGAACAAGATCATGTGATCGTGTGGTCATTTTCTTTCATTAAAACAACATGATCACAAACATCACCTTATCTTATGCAGACTATTGCAACAATTGTTCCGAGCCGTCTCACCGTCTTCTGCAACGTTAACAAGTACCGTGCTTCTGGGACCAGCCACAATCTCAACAAGAAGAGGTCCAGCCATCAAAGGACCCAACGCACACCAGCAAACATTGAAGCAGTCAGAACCCGTTTCGAAGAGCAACATGTTGGA